TATAGAGAGAGAGAGAGAGAGAGAGAGAGAGAGAGAGAGAGAGAAAGAGATGTCCACATGTGCATATGTACATAGTCACACAGTGGCATATTATTTGGCCTAAAAAAGGAGTAAATCTTGTCTATATGGTACAACTTAGATGATGCTTGAGGACATTTTGCTAAGTAAAATAAGCCAGTCACACAGCTAAGAAGCATTACATAGTTGTTCATTGGATATAGAGTTTCGGTTTTGCAAGAAAAATTCTGTAGATCTGTTGTACAGCAGTGCCTGTAGCTAGCGCTACTGAGCTGTATTTAAAGATGGTCAGTGTGGGGGGAGGAGAGAGGGAGACTGAAAATACAGAGAGGCCCCTCAGGGTTACGGAGGGCACAGCATGACAGCCTCCATTTGGAATGCACCATAGAGGGTATACCAGGAGCACAGGCAATGAAAGAAGGGGTAACTGATGTGCCCTCGCAGATGTGACCAGTGGGGAGGGGCCTTTGTGTGGGACCACTCAGGCCATCATAAGTACTTGCTTGTACTATGTGAGAGAGGCAAAAGCCATCACAGGGTGCTGCACAGGGGCCTTGTGTGAGGCCTAATATTCATGTCTACGTGGATTCGGGAGTGGAGAGGACATGCCGAAGGCCATTGTGGAACTTGGGTGAGAAATGGGCTCCCAGCATTGGTGACAGTAGAGAAACAGGAAGAATAGTATGGACTGGGGATTTACTCAGACATAGATGTTATGAAAGTCATTATTCTGTAATTTTCTGATGTTAACAGATATGTGATAAAAATGTCTTCTTTAATGATTTCCACAAAGTTTAAATCTCTTATTTTGTACTGCATATAATTGATTAAATATTGAATATTCCAAGTCACCAGTATAAAAATTGATTGCACTTTGATATATCTCAGTCTCAGTATTGCTTTCCTCTGCGAATCACATCCACATTCTTTTCTGCCTACTGTCTATTTACATCAGTATAGAAATAGTATCCATAAATTCTAAAATAGAATGTCTGTTGTCTTGGCTGGAACATATTTCCCTTCCCATAGCCCTATGTCCATGGTCGTTCTCTCATCTTATCATGTTGTTATTTTAGGAACATCTAAATTTTCAAAAGCATTCCATGTCACTGAGAATTTTTAGTTATTGTAGGGCTTTTGAGATTAGAAGGTGATAAATGGGGTGCTAAAAGGCCCTGAGTCTGTACTTTTCTGCGTCCCTGTATTTGTACCCACATGCACCTACACATAAGTCAGCTGTAAACAGCTTATATAGGGCGCATATTTTTAACTGGTTGCCCTTACTTGTTTTATTTTCGGTGAGAGACCAGCTGCCGTTTGCAATGCTAATTTTCCTTGCTCATTACATTCCAGATCTGAGCAAGGGCCTGAAATTCGACTCCTTCCTATAGGGGGGTTGTCCTAACCTGCAGATGCTGCCTCTGCCCAGGACAAGTATGCCTTAGGGACAATTACAGAGCAGCTACAACCTTCAATCTTTTTATGGTTAAAATGAAGAACACTACACCCTCCTCTGGGAGCATTACTGAGCCCCACTTAATCCTTGTCTAAATGGAGAAATTCTTTCTGAAAAGAGGCAGAGCCCCAAAAGAGTAGGAGAACATGTCAAACTTTAATCTACCTTCAGGGTTCAGTTAGGAAGAGCCTAAAACAGGCAGGATATCTTGTTCTGTTTTAAACCAACACATACAACCCAAGCAAAGGCCCGTGCTCAGCCTTGGTTCTCTTTTCCTTCCCTCCATGTGTGTTTTTGCAGCTGCTGTCCCCACTCACTGGCTGTTTCCTTGGTGGTCTTTTTAGTGTGGCCCTGATGGCGGGCTGTGGTGTGCCACGTGAATGAACAACAACAGCAGCCTGCACATCAACCCCTGGGTCACAGTGCTGTTCTCATTCATTAGGTCCTGGAAGCCTGAAGAGAAAAGCAGTGTCTAGTTTTGGTGAATAGTAGAATGAAGGCAAAGAGACATATTCCCTATTTTCAAGTTCCTTTATCAACAAATAGCTCTTAGACTTCTCAGTGCGAAAGGCAAGCCTCTCTTGAGATTTAAGGTGGGTTTGTTTTTAGCCCTTAGAAACCAGAAAGCATCACAGTTCCCATTAGCAAAGCTAGAGGCTGGCAGCAAGGCTCTGAAAAATCCTGGGGCCAAGACTTCAACTTCTTGGCTGGGTCTTCAGATCTTTTTATCAGAGTCAACCTCTTTAATCCATCAAGTTCAAGGACCGGAGATGTACTGAGCCAGCCATGGATAGTAAAATAGCCAGTGGTGGTGCTTCATTTCTGGAGTTCCTCTGCAAGCACTGCCTAGGGAAAAAGCAATCGTACTGGGACCTCCACCACCTGCAGAGATGTAGACAAGGGAGCAGGGTACTCAGAAACCTTGAAGAGGCCTGAGACCCTGAGTTTCCTGGGACTGCGACACATCTCTACAGGAGACCTGTCATTTCTTCTTTTGAACTCTTGGAGAAAATTTTCTTAACTGTGACTAACTTTAAATCCAGGGTGAATATGTTTTGGTTTTCTTAATAAGGTTTGCTTTAGCCCCTGGATTTGGTTTTTAGCCCACCATTTTATCTTCTTCCTTTCTAAACTTAGGCTCGGGAAGATGGCCTGACAGTCATTCAACCTCATTTCTTGTCCTTTGTGAACTCTAAGAGGCTCAGTGGGAAGATTGTGTACAATATCACTCAACCTCTGCACCCAAATCAAGGTAAGATGGGTGGGGAGTGATCTTTGCAGTGCTTCTGTAGTCTTTTAGTTGGACCAGTCTTTATTTATTTATTTATTTATTTATTTATTTATTTATTTTTGGCAGAACTGGGGATTGAACTCAGGTGCTTGCGCTTGCCAGGCAAGCACTTATTCTACTGAGCTATCTCCCCTGTCCCTGGACAAGTCTTTAAAACAGGAGGTTTGAGTGCTTATGTACACAGAGATACATGTTTAGGTTTTAAGGAATAGTGATTCCTACCCCCATGTTCTTGTCCTCTAGTTTAGGACAAATAGAGATGAGAAGAATGTGTTGGCTTTGGCTCCAACAGAGCTGTACTGAAGAACACCGCGGGTGTGAGCACCCTCTAACACCGCTGGAGGAACCAGATGCACACAGGCATTGCCTACGGGACAAAGCCTGCCCCATAAGCTTGCGACCAGAACCAGCAGGCACTGACAAGGAAGTCTGTAGGAGCTAAGGGGCTGAGCCACATATATGCATTTGTTCCACAGGGGATAAGTCAGTCCTCCTCCCTGGGGAAACAGGCAGTGTGGACCTATGGTCACAGGAGGGGTGGGCCCTGCCCTGAGTCAGTCTCCAGCCATTTCAGAGTTTAATTAATGGGATGGTATTAGTTGCAAAAAGGAGACCAGCTTCTACGGATACTGCTCTGCTCCCTCCCAGAGACCACTTTCTAAGAGATTAACATGCCCCTGATAAAGACCAAAGAAATAGGAAGCTAAAAGGCATCCTTTTTTCATTTGCCAGTTTTTATTTTATTTTATTTTTTATTTTTTTAATTTTTTTTTTATTTATGTGTGTGTGTGTGTGTGTGTGGCCAGCTCAGCCCAACAGGGGGCGGGGCTGGCATGTGGTGCTGGGGGATTGAACCGCGGTCCCTGTGCTTTGCTAAGCTTGTTCTAAGTAGGTACTTTAGACCACTGAGCCATCTCACCAGCCCTCATTTGCCAGTTTTTAGCTGAGGTTCTCCCTTCACTGTGAGTTCTTTGAGACTAGCACCCCAGGCTGTTTTGTGGAGAGTGGCTATTGGTCTCTCAGCCTGTGCACAGGAGAACTGATCAACACCAAGCCTCCTGTGTGCCCTACTTTTAAAGAGTGAGTGGAGCTTGGTGTGGTGGTCCTTGCTTATAATCCCAGAACTCTGTGAGGCCACGGCAGGAAAATCACAAGTTCAAGCCCAGCCTGGGAGACCTTGTGACTTAGTGAGTGTCTCTGTCTCAAATAAAAAGTAAGAAGAGGGCTAGGGATGTAATTCAGTATGAAGGCCTTAGGGTCAATCCCCAGTACTAAATAAAAAAGAAGAAAAGAAAGAAGACTGAATGAATTGGCCAGGAACAATGGTGCAGTATCAGTTCTGTATTGCAATAAATGACAGGCAGATGGGCAACCCCTAAACCACTGTCACAAGCCAAACCATAACACACATCCAGTCCTTTGAATGTTCAATCCACGTGACTGTTAACAGATCATCACAGAGATTATTAAGGAAAGAAGGAAAATCTCCTTACAACAGCAGCTAAGGACAGCCTGTACTGTCTCTGAGGGACCTTGACCTCTAGATTGACATTTGTTTGCAAGGGTCTCACAGTTATGGTGCAGACCGCAGGGTCTAAGCTCCATTGTGGGGATTCGCTTTCATCTTACGTGCTAACATTTCATGAGCCCAAGACGCTCTGGGTTTCAGATTTGGAGAACAGCTCACCCAGGACAGAGCGATAGGCTCCCAGTAGGAAGACAAAAAACTCCCACAGGGAGTCAGTGGGCCTTGGGAGTGACTGCTGATGCTCCTGCCCATCTCTTGCTCCTCAGGTGTCATCGAGCACAGGGACCAACCTCTCTCTCCCATCCGGTACTTCACACAGGAAGACATTAACCAAGGCAAAATCGTGTACCGGCCTCCCTTGGCAGCACCCCACCTCCAGGAGATCATGGCCTTCTCCTTTGCAGGTAACACTGGCCCCTCTGCCTCGTGCACCCACATTGCTCTCTGCATCTTCATGGTCCACCCTGACTCATCCCAGAAGTCCTCTAGACAGTTTGGTGACACTGCTTTACAAACCTACCCAAAAGAGCTGATGTCCTGTTAGTTCGGGTGTGGTGTGGGCTAAGTTCCTCCTTTTTTCCCAGTAACTCCAGCACATAGGCGTTCTTGCAGTAGACTTACTTTGTGGCTCCTGTGTTTGTGCCAGTGACTGAAGGGAGCCTTGGAGATAGGACATGAGCTGGAAAAACACGGCAAAGGTTTCCCACAGTAAAAGGCACCTGCCATTCGTTTTCCTCAGAGTGCTCCCCTCTCACTGAACACACCTGCCCTGTCATTCTTGCCACCTTCTGAAGCAGCTCTGGTAGCCTCTTCTGTGTCTTTGGCTGTGGTCTCGCAACTGACTTGATGTCCTGAGTCAGTTCTGTAACATTTGACTTTTATGGACATTTTGATTTGGGAAAACAGCCAGGAATTGTGTTGTGCCAGGTCTGTGAGTAAGGCCAATGAGGATACTCAATAATATTTCTTTGAGTCTGCCTGCCCATTGGATGGCACTCAGTAGTGGCATTTGCTGTATTTTTTTAAATCATAATTTGTAAAGCCACTCAAGAAAGAGACCTTGCAGAACTGCTTCAGAAAGTGGCAAAGATGATAAGTATGTCAAAGCAAGAGGGAAGTGTTTCGAGGTTGATGAATGGCAATATATCTTTAACTGTAATAATTTCTTTATCAAGCAGAATTTTTTTTTTTAATGTATTTAGGACAGGGTCTCGCTACATAGATCGGACTCATAGTGATCCTCCTGTTTTCAGCCTCCCAAGCACTGGGATTACAGGTGCTGGGTGTGTCACCACACCCAGTCTCATTCCCTGTCTCAGCACGCCCCTGGGGTGGGGCCGGCACAGCATGCCATGGATTGATCGAGCCCCAGTCTCTGTGCTCTGTCTAAGCAGTTGCTTTAATCTACTGAGCTATCTAACTAGCCCTTATAATAATTTTTTTAAATGTAAACATTCATAGTATATTATGACCACACCTTGTATACTGGTAAGCAAAGAGGGTGTAGATGTAGCTATGAGGATAGCTGACGAAATAACTCCAGTTAGGAATGTTTAATTGTACAGTGGCCTGGGAGCTCTGAAAAGGTGGTAGACCACTCTGTGGTAGGACACAGAAAGGCTGACTTAGACTATGGGCAAAGGGACTGCTCGAGAGCATCCCGACAGTGGTAGATGGAAGCTATCCAAACTACATGTGCATGCAGGGACAGTAGGGAATGCCTTCCTGAAAGAAGGGCCGGCACCCTGTGTGCACAGGCTTTGAGGAAAGGTGTGCCCGAAGCTTGCCAGAGACAGTGAGTCTTAGATGTGGAGGATCAAGCAGGGCAGGAATGACAAGCCTTGCAGGAGATAGGCCAGCCCTCTGAGACCCGTGGGCCTCTTGAGATTGGGGTCTCTATAGGAAAAGAAGGGCTGGCAGACATAGTAAGACCCAGGGGCTGGCTTCTAGAAGGAACTCCTTGACCGCCATGGTCAATGGGAACCCAGCAAGGGGCCCTGCAGAACTGTAAGGAAGGTGTCATGGAGGATGAAGAATGAGGTGACCCTGTTGGAATTGGCACCCAGATTTGGCAGGAAATCCTGGGAAAAGTAGTCTTTCATGGAAGCCGGGGGCATGTCCTTTCACAAAGCCATGAGAGCCTTAAACCTCACCACCCTGTCTCTTTGCTTGATCCAGTTAGCAAAGCCAACTGGGGTGAGTCTTTACCCCTAAATATGTCTGTGCCATTGATTGATCCTGCAAATCCTGAGACATCTTTCTACATGACCTTTAGGATATATGTACCATGTAATATAATGACTGTAGGGTATTTTGTAGAGTAGATTTATTCATATGGAAGAACTGAGAGTTTCTTATAGGCTATGTAATTTTAGAAATTCTTATGATAATGGATTAAACAATTTTAGAATTTCTAATGGTAAACATACACAACATGATAGCTACCATTATTTAATATAAGTTAATTCATCCAGAAACTAATTAACTCCTCAATTAGATTGAAAGTCTCCAAGGGCAGGAAAAGGCCCCTTTTCTGAGGAATGTCCCTAGTGTTTAGTAACTAGGTAACTAATAGCCCATGAAAATGTTTATAGTGCTCTATCCCCTACTTTACCAGACCTACTTTATAAGAAATCCTAAAGATAGCCTGGGATTAGAGGCAAAGAAAACATGTCAGCCGTGGTTGAAGCAATTTCCAGATCTGTACTCTCACCTTGGTTCTTAGAGTCTCTTCTGAGAGAGCAGAGCCCTGTCCTGTATAACCTATGGGACAAATGCCGCAAGATAAATCCCTCACATGCTTACAGGGTGTAAATCAATGTCCCAGGTATCACTCAATGCCACGATGGCATTGACCCACCCGAGAGCGCTGTCAGTGATATACAATGTCACCTCCATTCACCAATTTGTAGGAGTCCATGTCCTGATAAAACAGGATCTGAATGAGTGTATTATAAATCACTCTTAACTGCTGTGATACAAAATTATTCCACTATGTGGTTCCTTTTGCTATTAAAAATTATTGCTGGCATTATTGAATTCAGCGTAACATTAGCAAATGACCTGCTGTTTCTTAAATCAGAATAATTGAAATAAAACATCTTTTGCTTTCTTAACCTCTGCTTCATGCTTTGTGCCTGGTCCATCTCACCCTGGCCCCAGAATGTTTAGTATGCTGATTTTCTCTCTTGCTCTTTCAGGTCTCCCAGAATCTGTGAAATTCCACTTCACGGGTAAAGAATTTAATCTCGATTTTGTTATAAAATGGCATTGCTCCTTCCTTTATTAATTTCGTTCTGCTGCCTTCATCATTACTTTTAGCTGTTTTCCAAGAGCTAATTAAAAGTTATGACTTTTCCTCCAAAACAACTTTTTTCTAAAATTATCACATGGTTAATTAAATAGTAACTAGTTACTTTTGTATTCATAGAAAAATAATCTACCAAAGATATTAAAAGTTGATGCTACACTTAAACTCTAATTCAGTTTGTCCAGATATGTGTTTAAAAAGAGGCAGTCATGGTTCAGACTTTAAAGTCTGGATCCAGAGAGCCTGAAGTTCAGCCTCTCTTTGCCTGAATTCCTCCCCCATCAGTGGAGGTCAACAGCAGCAGCCGCAGCATTGGGTATAACTCCCAGAGCAATCACTGGCCCATACATGTGCCTGGGTTACATTCAGCTAACGCACTGTGGTTGCGTGGCATCATGGGTAGAGCCACGATGAATGCTTGCTACTGCAAGGAAGACTTATGACCCAGAGTAGGAGTTGAGAAATTTAAGTGTTGAAAACCTTAGCATCCTCCTATTAATTCACACACAATAGAAGTTGGACACTAATCAGCAAAAGCAGGGTCAGACCTGCTATCTGTGCTGGAGCAACATAAAGCCGAACTTTCTTGTTTAGGTGACAGTGAGGATACTTACCATAAATAGTTTTTTTAATATAGCTGTTCAGATGGGATTGACAAACTTATTAGAATAACCATCCATGTTTCCTGTTATACTTCAGGCAGAGAGCAACTTTGGAGGGATTGAAAACCACTGTCCTCAAACTCCCAGGCCTTCTTTCTCACTGTGAGGGTCAAAAATCACACATGAACCAACATTAGGTCTCTGGGTTGTGTAACTGACACATTAAAACCCCAGTCAGCTCATTTCTAGTAACATATCTCTGGCTAACTCATACAATCAGTAGTAATATATAACAGAGCTCTTTTTGACTTTTTTGAGGGGAACTTACATGAAGTATCTCATTTAATCTTTATAAGATGTTGATTTTTTTTTTCAGCTTTTCAAAGTTGAGGCTACTGAAAGTCACTAAGGGTGACTTTGCCCAGATTCTCACTGTGGCAAAGAGAAGAGCCAGAACTTGAGTTTAAGTTTCTAGCTCAGCGCATGAGCTGGTCAGCTTATTCTGGGGTGTGTGTGTGTGTATTGGGCATGGAAAGCAGATGTCATAGTAGTGTACATCAGCCTTTTACCCCGAAGCTTGAGTAGGTGAGGGGTTAGCAATTGACTTCTCTAGGACTTTAGGTTAAATGATTCTGAACCTACTATACAGAGTAAAAGGATGGATGTTAAGTCACTTTTTCTTTTCCATGGTTCTTTTGTTTGATTTTGTGAAAAACTTTAGAATCTAATAAGAAAGAAGTCATGTCCTTTAGGAGAGATTTGTGAGAGAGAATTTAAATTGGCTAAGGTAGTAACAAACCTCCACTGGGACATTAACCCATAGAATGAGGAAGAATAGCTCATTCTGGGTAATCAGCTAAGAAGAGGAAGCAAGCCCCATTCCTGACCCGCCTGCCTTCTGACGTGTTCAGTTGCCCTCAGAGCAGTTCTGACTAAGGAGCACATGGGACATGGTGCCCACAGGATGGGTTTAACCCAGAGAGGCAGTGAGATGTTCCTCAGAGAACTCGGGAACTTTGCTTAAGGAGTGGGTCAGACACATAGCTGCTGATATTTTAACTATTAACTTTTTATATTTGATTACAAAACATGGCACTCATAAGATATATTTTCTAGGGATGGAGAACATGCCCAAAATAGCTTTCTTCAACTCACAGAGGCAAGGATTTGCCTTGATCATGCTGGAGAGCTGTGTAGGAGGACTAGGGCTCTTTAGGTTATAAGGCCTTTTCTTTCCTCCTCAATAAAATAAGAATACTGAAGTCTGCATGAACTTCCTGCCATTTAAAAATAAAACCAGGGGCTGGGAGATGGCTCAGTGGAATAAGCACTTGCCTGGCAAGTGGAAGGTCCTGAGTTCAATCCCTGGTTCCACCAAAAAATAAAAAATAAAGAAATAAAACCAATGTAAATTATACCAGAAAAATAAATTTGTATTTTGCAATTATTTATTTTTATTTAACATAGATTTTTTTAAACTGTAGATTCCAGGAACCTCAGAGTCCTAAATCTACTGAAATTTATGGAAAAGTTAGAATGTTCTCAAGGTTTCAAAAGTTAGCAATCTTCTCCTTCATTCTGAGCATCTGGAGAGATTAACCATGAGTGGAGAAACTGCAGCACTAATTTTGACACTTGACCAAGTGACCAAAGCCATACAACAATGCCTGTGCTGTCCCTGCTCCTTCCATAGGACTGTCGTTTGGGTTTCTCTAAGAGATGGAGGATAACTTAGACATCTGCTATGTTCTCAGATTTGTCTCCAAGATAAGTTATACCTAAAACACGGTGCCCACAGGTTATGTTTGACCTAGAGAACATAAATGGGATCATGGCTGGGAGTCACTGAGCAATGGTGAGATCAGAGTCTAGTGACTGGTGACCAAGTACAGGAGAAAGTAAGGCCAGAAAGCACTTCCTCATCCCCAGCCCACCAGTGAGCATACCATAACAACGCAATTTTCTCAAAGCCACAGTGGATAAACAGATGAGCAGATGGTCCGTCCCAGCTAGGCTTTTGGAGAAGAGAGAGTGTATTGAGGTATGAGAAAGAAGAGTCAGGGTCAGGCAGTTTTGCCTTAATTTCCCTTAGGAAATCAATGCTCAGTTGCAAAAAGTAATACAAGGAAGTAAAACTAAAGGTCACTGTTTTGCTCACAAAGGTGTCTTCTATTTATGGTGTTGTGCATAATGACTAGGTAAAAATGGCCTTGCTTAATTCCAAACAAATGCCCCAAGAAATATTTTCAGTGCTTTCAAAAATTCTAATTTATAGAAGCAAATTCTTGAGAAAAAGTATTTTTTCTGGAATATTGGCAGAATGAACTAAATCAGAATTTTTGCATAAGTGAAAGCCTTTACCAGCATCTTTTAAAAGTGCATATTTTGTACTACTTTCCAGAAACATTTATCAAAATCACCTTGCTGTGAAAGCACTCTCTTAAAATGACTTCTTTCTTTAGGTTTATTAGCCTTTTTTATGCATAGAGAAAGCTCACAGTATCTTCCTGGGCTTGTTTACTTTTTCCATCTGTAAGCATCTCTTCCAAGTGTTATGTTAATCTACTTTTCTGTTGCTGGGACAACATACAACCACAAATTAAAGGAAGTGAAATTTATTTTGGCTTCTGGTTTCATAGGTTTTCATCCATGGTCAGCTGGTCCTACTGCTTTAGGCATGTGGTAAGATAGAAACATCATGGCAGGCGTACGTGAGGGACAAACTGCTGACTGCATGGCAGCCAGGAAATAGGGGGAGATGGAAGAGTGAAAGAGCCAGGGAGGAAGGAGCCAACGACCAAGGCCTGCCTTCAGCAGGCATCATCCACTGACCCACCCAATCCAGCGAGTGCTCCCCTCACCCAGTGCGCTCCTTGAGCTGTGAACTCTGTGGCAGATTAATCTACTTAATGAAGTTTGATAATTTGTGATCCATTGAATTGCTCAAATGCCATCAGATGGCAACCAAGCCTTCCACACAATGAAACTCGAGGGGACGTTTTAGATTCCCAGCATATATGGCTGACAATCTAAAAATGTACTGTATTTTTAGAAACAATCAGACTCCAAGTTGATTTATGTAATTGTGTGTGTGTGTGTGTGTGTGTGTGTGTGTGTGTGTGTGCACTTTCTCCTAGTGTCTGATGGAGAGCACACAAGTCCAGAGATGGCCCTCACCATTCACTTACTTCCCACTGTCCGGGACACATCCCCGCCCCAGGTCACCGCTTCCCTGCTTGAGGTCCGCCCAGGAGGCCATGCTTCTCTCGGTAAGAACTGGGAGCTAGAAGGAAGCGCAGCTCTGCAAACAGAACCATATTTCAACAGCTGTCTCTCTCCAAGCTTCTTCTTGAGTACCAAGAACAGTGACCTCTCTCTCCACACTTGTCCAGCCTTCCTCCTGCCCATTCTTATGCAAATAGAGGCAGTGCAGAGAAAAGGGAATAAACTCTTCCGAGGCCAAAGCTTGTGATGGAATGCAATGCAGAATTTATTTCTCAGCCTCCCAGAATTTGATTTGTTGTCTTCACTAACATATAAAATAACAGAGCAGAGAGGAGAATACAGGGAGCGAGTTTCAATGACTGCTCTTGTTTTCTGTTTAGAAAGCAAAGAGGGATAGGGGAAGTGATGGATTGCAGTAACCTTCAGAAGTTTGAAGAGTTAGAGTCAGCCCTGTTATTTGATACACGATTGTGTTTCCTTGTAGTATGCATACTCTTCAGATTGTTCTAATGCCAAGGATGATTCACTAGCAAATAGTGGGCGTTGTGATTTTTGTGACGTGTATTTTGTCACATATATCTTGTAGACACAAGTTTCTGTATGTAAGTTTTTGTCCTAAATTAATCATCCAATTTCTCCATATGTGTTTTGGCCACAAATTAATTGTCATCAAACTTAGAGGCAGGCCACACTTAACAATAACAAAGGTCACTTTTACTTTCTTCCTCACTTTCATGATGACCATAGCAGCTGTCATGAAATTTGTTTTTCCTGGAATATTCTGAAAAATAATTTTTAAAAAATGAAAAGCAGAAAACAGTTTATGGTAGTATAGTTTCTGAAGGAACAGCTGGCTCAGCTGGTCAAGCCTGATCTGCTTCTGCCCTTTCTGTATATATGTATGGAAGAAAAAGAGTTCCAGATTTCTGAATTCAGGACTGCCATAAGTAATTTTTTGGAATAACCTACTTACCGTTTTGAGTCAGCTCTTTGACCAACTTTTGCGCTTGTGTCGGCCTTGATTACTGATCACCCACACCCTGGCTTCCAGCCTGACCTTGGCTTGAATGTGTGCAAGAATATAATTGAGACTGTGCCCATCCTTTCCCCATGCCTTGTTCTCTTGCCACAGGCCTCCAGGTGATAGTGAGGGACCCTCAGGCAGTCCCCGAAGAACTCTTCTTCAAGCTTCAGACACCTCCACAGCATGGCGTGCTCCTTAAGGACACAGCTGACTTCCGAGGCCCCATGGTTGCAGGTAGCTGCATGTTCCTCCTAGACCTGCTTGGGGCCTTTTTGTTCTGCAGTCTTATGTCTCAGAAAAGGCATGGAGTATCTGTCTTTATGGGATGTGCTATGAGGACAGACCTCCTATTGAGTTTATCTCATTGGCCCAGTCATTAGAGACACTTTTCTCTGCCCACCCCAGACCCCTGGTGCAGGCCCCCAGCCTCACCCTGAAAACTGTGAAGCTACTTCCTCCAATTGTGAGATTACTTGATTTCTAAGACTTGAGCCAATGTGTTTAACACATTACCACACAAAGTGACAGCAGCCACTTTGCTATAACTTTTTCGTGGAGGTGAATTTGTCTGGCTTAATTTAATATGTGAGTCTTTGCAATATCTTTTCCATTATGACTCTGATATGTTAGCTACATGTATCTTCATCCACAAAAGGGAACATAGTTTTGCAATTTATCTAAACTGTGTAATGCACTCTTCTAATCATGTGCTTATATGACTACCTTTTTATGTATGTATATATGTATGTATGTGTGTATGTATTTGGTACAAGGGTCTCACTATGCAGCTCTAACTCATGGCGATCCTCCTGTTTTCAGCCTCCCCAACACTGGGATTACAGGGGTGTGCCATCACACCCTTTCTCAGTGGTTGGCTTAGCTTGCCCGGGGGGCGGGGCTGGCATAGAATGCAATGCCGGGGATCAATGACCACCTTTTACATTAATATTTACTGTGCTTTTTCTAAGACTGTGCATATAGATTATTCAGGAAGAACAAAAAATTCCCAAAAATATAAGGAAGTCTAAGTTTTTTAGTAATCAGGCCTCATATATCAAAGTAAATATTACCCTCTCCTAAGGAGTCATCTCAAAATTCCATATCTTATTCTAAAGACCTTTACTTTCTAAAAACTTGATGTTAGAGATAGTACTCTATCTTGTGCATTCTTCTAAATATCTCTGGTGGAACAAATTTTTGACTTTGAAGGCAGATTGAATTGTTAAGAACCACCAGTATTGTCATTTGGGAGTCACAAAGGTAGACTTCTAAAAATGTACTGAAGAGAAGAAATATCATTAAAATATCTTCTCTGCAGCCTAGATGAACTATTTTAGGGGCATATAGTCATTGTCCTATGTCTGTAACACTACATTTGACCTATATTTATGTGATAAATATATATAATCTAAACATGTGTATAAAAGTCATATTATCTTTTTTTAGGCATATGGACACTAGTAAAACCATTAACTGTGTTGAGAGGTATTTTAGATTTATTAATATGGAGAATGAATAAATTCTTCAATAGAAAATGAATAAATTATCTAGATGAATAAATTCTCCAATATATAACACCAATTGTTAGCACCAGTACAACAGAAAACAGTTAAAAACAATATCCAAGAAGATGAATTCCTTAATTATATTTTTTGGAATCATTAGGGTCCATGACACTTAGAAGTGCTTCTCATGAAAAAAGCTCAGTGATCAAATAAGTTGAGAAGCTTTACTATTTGTATATTGAAGATTCTTGGGGTTGGAGTTGTAGCTCAGTGGTAGGGCACTTGCCTAGCATGTAGGAGGCCCTATATTCAGTCTCTGCCACTAAAAAGGAAAAAGAAAGAGAAGATTGTATAGCACTAATAAATCCTGCAGTTTAAAATGAGTATTTTTAGGGCCAGCCAAATAGCTCAGTGGATTAAAGTGCCTGCAAACAAGTGCAGGGGCCAAGGGTTCAATTCCCTGGCCTGCCATGCTGATCCTGTCCCTGGGGCATGCTGAGATGGCAATTGAGAATGGGCGTGGTGGTGTGCACCTGTAATCCAAGCTCTTGGGAGGCTGTAAACAGGAGGGTCACTATGTGGCTGATCTAGTAGTGAGACCCTGAACACCCTGTAGACCTTTCCCTAAAATACAGAAAAAATAAAATAAATAAAATGTGTATTTTTTTAACTTAGTGGGTTTTTTTGTTTTTGTTTTTGTTTTTTGTTTGTTTGTTTGTTTTTGCTCCGAATGCCTTCAAGGCATGACTGGCTGGCTTGCGTTGTGGGGATCGAACCACAGCAACCTGAGCCTGACTGCTTTGTTGAAGCAGCCACATAAGGAACTGAGCTAAGGGGCAGGCCCCCTTAACTTAGAGTTTATCTCATTTCCCTAAAACTTATGTGAACTTGAAACTTTTTTCATACAACACCTATCTAATCTATTATGAATTAGGAGTCTAGACTAGATACAGTTTCTAATTGTAAATATATTTTTAAATTTTTAATTACAAAACCTTTATACTCAATTAAAATAAAGATGATTATAGGCTTATAAAGCATAATATATTTTCTTAAGTTTTTCAAAAGTTTTTCAGTACCAAGATTAGATTCTAGAAAGGCAGTCATAAAGAATAGAGGCTTGTTCTTTGTTTTTCTAAAAGTAATACTGATGAGTGGATCTTACAGAGCAGATTTTAGCTCTATATTATTAAGAACCTTTAAAAAGCAAACATATTAAAGCTGTCTGCAGAGGACCTAGATACCTTGTTAAAGAATCTCTCACCTTGGGAAGTGCTAGAGGACAGAGTAGCCCACCTTTTTATCAAGGATTGTAAAGGGAATCCTACAGTGGGTTGTGTGTAGACTAATTAACTTATGGCTCCCAATGTTTTTGATTCTGTGTGTACTTGAAAATTCTGAGAACAAAGGTGCTGTGTAAATGAAAGCCATTACTCCCAAAGTCATTGGCTTTATGATTTGTTTTATTCTTGGAAGGTGACACTTTCACATATGATGATGTTGAGAAAAACAGTGTGCAATATGTACACGATGGTTCCTCTGCCCGGGAAGACAGCCTGGAGATCTCAGTCACTGAGGGCCTGGCGGTGACAGTGTCCCAAGTAAGAGTGGAGGTGTCCGTGTCAGAGGACACAGGGCCTCGGCTGGCTGCTGGTTCCTCTCTGAGCATGACTGTTTCAAGTCACGGCACAGCCACGATCACCAGGTCACACCTTGCATACGTGGTAAGTATTACATTTGCTATGCCTGTGCCGCTGTAGCTGCGGATCCAGCTGACTAGAAAGCCTCACTAGGACTGAGCATGTGAGTCGACAGGTATAGGGACCATACACGGAACCTTTTCTCAGCTTCTCTACAGTTCTTAGGGGTCCACACACAGTGTCCTGGCTTCTACAGTGTCACAGGAGCAGATGAGTACATATGGAAGCACAATATATATGTATAGGATGGGTGACTGGCAACAGGAAACAGTGCTAATGTTAGAAAAGTCCAAGTTTCATAGTCTCAGTGCCATCCATAATATTTATAATGAGGATTCTAGGAAAAGAACATTTTAGAAGAATTTACCTGGCCCATGACTAATAAATATTTCCTGGCTCCCTGAGGGGATGCCTGTTTTTCACGAAAGTGCACTCTAGATAGAAGTAAGGCATCTCTTTGGCAGTGCCTCTGCAGATTTCCAGAGGCAAGGCACCGCCTCGGGCACCATGTCCTTCCTGAGAGAAACAGCATAGGAAGGGGATCGAGGAGAAAATCACGGATCCTGGGGGTTTTCCCCAGTCTGGTCCTAGCTTGATGAGTGATCCTGATAATTAAACTTACCGTTTTTCTTTGATTTTTGTCTCTGGAGCTAAGGATAATGAGGATAATTAATTTTATATTACATTTATGTATACTATTATAAATAGATATGCACTGTCTGTGTAAACATAATAATGTGGTTTTTATAATGCCATTAAAGGAAGAATAATTACCTGGATCATAAGCATTCTTAGTATTTTTCTTTACTAATCTTAAAATTTCAATGAATAATCTTGTCTGTGTGCCTGCCTGCCTGCCTGCCTGTCTGTCTGTCTGTCTGTCTATCTTGACATCAGATAGTTTTAAGCAACCCTCTTCTGGGCTGAGAAATCTTGCTCTGAAATCTAGTCCTGAATAGTAGCATGACAAAACATTTTGGTTCTACAGACTTTCCCCCTTTAAATTGTCTCAAGTGGGGCTGGAGAGATGGCTCAGTGGTCTAAAGCACCTACTTAGAACAAGCTTAGCAAAGTATCAGGGACCGCGGTTCGATCCCCCAGCACCACATGCCAGCCA